ATTATCTTGAGTCGAGAGTCTTTCAGAAACAGTCTCTCTACGCCTTCGGAGGGGTAAGGTCTGCGTACATACTACCCTCCCCAGACCCCACTTATGGGATTTTACTGGGTTGTGTTGTTGTTGAACTCAGCACATCTTGATACAGTACATCTCAGCCCATCTAAAATTTCGTTGATTTTTAACTCAAATAGATTCATGAGTAACTTTGCTAAAATATCTTTAAAATAATTCTTTTTTGTTTGATATGTTATATATGACCATAAAAAAATCTTGATAATTGAACAATTTATAAGAAAACAACACACATTAATTAAAATTTGGTATGAGTTGGCGGAGTTGGGTTATGACCTAAATTTTAGTCTATCTTGACCTACTCCATCTCAGCCCATATAATTTTGGACGGGTCATTAATCCATTTATTTATTGACTCAGCTCATGTTGACCCGCTCAAAATGAGTCCATCCTCCCATTTGACAGCCCAGCCTTCTATTAACCACTAACATGAACAGTCAATTAGTAATATTTTGTTTAATATCTCTATATTTTTTCTGACTTGTAAAAGAACGAGTTAATCTTATCCTTTGATATTGAGTTGGAGAGATCTAACAAACAATATTTAGGTGGGGATGCGAGGTGCTTTTGGTATATAAAATATAACATGTGTGATATATATTATAACCATAAACTCGTAACATATTCCATAAGTCTATTACTATATTAATAATTGGCTGGGGAGGCGAGGTCTACCTTTATAAGGTGGCTTAAGCAGTGAAAATAGCACGGGCGAGCCAGTTTTTGTAATGGTAATTAAAAAATAGTCATCGTTATAAAGTTATTAAAAAATAGTCACTATTTTTCCGTAACACAAAAAACTTCAGCATAATATACTAGAGATTGGTGCACCTGTGTATGAACTTCTAGTATATTATGCTGGAACTCCAATACACGGAAAGTTCTAGCATAATATACTGAAAGTTGGAGCACGTTTGTATAAACTTCCAGCATATTATATTGAAACTCCAATATATTATGCTGGAAGTCCACCATGTTGTACTGGAACTCCAGTATATTATGTTGGAATATTTACCGGATTTTGAACGGTGTTTTCGTTTAGATTTATCTTTACATGAAAATTGGTTAAATTTCGATTACTTTTGAAATTGTAGCTATTTTTCAATTACCACTTGTAAATCTGGTTATTTTTTAATTTCACCCGCTTAAGTATTGTATTCAGGGGTGGATTTAGGGGGCCAGGAGGGGTTCACCCAAACCTCCTTCGCCGAAAAATTACATTGTATATATACGGTAAAATTTGTTTTATTTTTATATATTGTATTATGTTTTGAATCACCTTGATATAGTCCAAAAGCATAGCTTAGTGGTTAAGGGGGTTCAGAACAATTGTGAGATCATTGATTCAATTCCCACTAGTTACAATTTCATTTAATTTTTTAATTTTTTTTCTTTTTTGATTCCCTTTATCCTGCCTCCGCCATTGATGGTACTTAGTCAATTAGTGACAAAGTTCTCTGTTCGTCCTCACGTACACTCTCATTAGCACATTTTAAATTTTAAGAATTAGGACGGAATACTGGCAATTACATAGTCTTTTTTACCTTAATAGTAATAGCTTATAACTAATTATAATTACTAAGCCATTGTCTTTCTATTTTGTATATTTTCAGGAAATTGGTTGTTCCAAAATAAAGGCTCATCGCTTGTTCATAAACCAGTTCGTTTCAATTGTGCCCGTATTGCTGCAAGTAATTTTGGTATGAGCATCTATTGCGTAAAGATTAATTTCTTTACAAATAAAACCAGAAAGCAAGTTTTTCTATATGATCGACATTTTGTTCAGGTAATGTGGATGAGCTACAATCTGATTACCCAGGTAACTACGAAGAGGAAGACATTCAGGTGATAATAAAATTATTTACTAGCTTTACATTTTTCAAATTTGTGACAAATTGTTTCTAAAAATGGTGCAATATACGTATATTAAGACTTAAGATGCTCATTAGACGTTTAATTTATGGTCAGCAGAGGCAAATCCATGATATAGAATCAGTAGATTTAAAATGAATATGATCGTATTAAATATCTCACACTGTGAGAATATACTGGGTATATTGTTATTGTATGATCTTATTAAATGTATATTTTTTGAAGTTTTTATACTTATACACACAGTTTAAAGCAAAAAAGCAACTGGTTCAATTAAACCCACATAACTCACCAAATATCTGCTCTTTGATGGTCACCGTGAAATTTAAAAAATTCATCATCTTTCTTTCTTTCTTTTCACATCTTAAGCAAAACATCACGAGGTCATTGTGTTGCACATTAATTTAATTTAGACAACAAGTTGAAGTTTTGTAAGTGAAATAGATTATTTAGTTGAAACGCTCCTAAAATAAGTTTTCAATGTTTCACTAGTTCTTCGAATTAATATAGAAGTTATATACATGTTATACTTAAAAACAGCTTTTCTCAATAGGTAACCACAGCAATACAGATCAAGAATTTGACAGAGGAGATCAAACATATGTTGAGTTCGATGGGAGATGGGAGGTCAAGTGTCTCACCTTATGACACAGCTTGGGTTTCCTTTATTCGTGATACTAATATTAATGGAAGCAGCGAAAGACCCCTTTTTCCATCTTGTCTTAAGTGGATCGAAGACAATCAACTTCCTGATGGTTCATGGGGCGAGGAGCTTGTATTCTGCATATATGATCGTCTCTTGAACACACTAGCATGTGTTGTTGCATTGACCTTATGGAACACATCCCTTCGTAAAAGAAACAAAGGTGAACTTTCAAGTTATATTATTCATGACTGGTTTTACATGATTCCTAGGTATTTTTAAATTTTATTCACTGACAATATAAAAAAAAATTTCGCACTGAATCGCTTATAAGAAAGGTGGCAAATTAGCGGGTTAGAGGTCAAATTTGACTGGTCAAAATAGGTCATGAACCGACCAACCCAAAGTTAATAACCGGCACAACCGACCCCCAACATTACCCAAACTTCTTTTTATACTTTACTTTCTGAAATAAAAATTGAAAGTTACTGTATTTTTCTAAATTATTAGTTCAAAGTCTTTAAATTTTGCATATCTAGTATTTTCAATCTCCGAATTTAATTTTGTATGTCACCTCTAATTACAAGTAATTATAGGTAAATATTTATGATAATCATTAATTGATAAATTTATGAAAAAAAATTATCTTCTGTATATTAGTAGCTACTAGGTCACAGATAAATACTACGTATAAGTATTTCCAAAAGATATACTCCATTGATTTTAAAAAGATTGTCTTAGTTTGACATGACACAAACTTTAATAAAAATGAAGACTTTGAGATATGTGGTTTTAAATAAGCCATAACATTTGTGTGACTGTAAAACTTTTAAAACTTGTGGTCTAAAATCTGTCATAGTATTTGTGGTTATGTGCTTTTCATTAAGGATATATGAAAATGTGTCAATCTTTTTGAAATAAATTAATAATGAAATAGTGTCGATCTTTTTTAAATGGAGGGAATATTTTTCTTTGTTTTTCTTAAGGTGGGTGTGCCAAGCCTAGGCTATAGTGCGACGCTTAGCGACAGGTGAAGGCCTAGGTAGAAGGCTACCTTGGCGGCCTTCCCCTGTAAAAATTGAGTGGAAATGACACTAGATAGCTATTTTTAAGCATGTTGTTTAAAATATATCCACAGTTTAAAATGTATTTAAAGATTAGCTAATTTCGCTCAAACTTTAGGACACAGTGTCCTAGAGTTTAAACCTTAAAATTCAAACTTCAGGATATCGGTTCCTAAAGTTCGAAAATTGTATCCTGGAGTTCGAATCTTATGTCCTGAATTTTAAATTAGTAATTCTGAAATTCAGAACACTTAGTCCTGAATTTCAAAGTAGCAGCTCAAAAATTCAGGACACTAAGTCCTGAATTTCCAAATTCAGGATACTTAGTCCTGAAGTCCTAGAGTTTAAATTTCAAAATTCAAAGGACATCATGTCCTAAAGTTTGAAAATTGTGTCCAGAAGTTCGAATCTTATGTCCTGAATTTTAACTTAGTAGTTTAGGAATTCAGGACATTTAGTCTTGAATTTCAAATTAGCAGCTCAAAAATTCAGGACATTAAGTCCTCAATTTCTAAATTCAGGATACTTAATCCTGAAGTTTGGGTGAATTTGCTAATTTTTAAATGCATTGTAAATTGTGAATATATTTTAAATAGCGGGCTTAAAAGTAGCTATTGTTGTACTTCTTATAGGTCATACTGATGATTGAAATACTATATGAGGCGGTTTAGAAAATTCAGGTTTTCACAGGAATAGTTTAGTGGTAAAGGATCGTTTATAACTTGACGTCAGCAGTTCGATTCCAAGCCTCAATATTAATGCTATTTCCTAGTTCATACGCCTGAAGTCAATTTCTTCTTTTGATTAAAACGGTAAAGGACTTTTTGTTTAGATAACCAGTATTTTATTTTATTCTACTCCAAAAACACGTCTGGGCTGAGAGAGCTGAGCTGCCATCAGTATCAGCTTCTCTAATCTTTCCTGAAAAGTAGAAAAATAGTGGTCTTATGCATTATATGAAACAATATTTATATATAAGAAAAAGGTTGGAATATTGAATTTTGCTGACATGGGCTATATATTCTTCTTTAATAGGAGTGATGTTTATCAAAGAAAACTTAAGCAAGCTAGAGACCGGGGAAGTTGAGAACATGACTTGTGGATTTGAATTTGTGTTTCCTGCTCTCCTTGAGAAAGCTCAAAAATTAGACATTGACATACCGTACGATGTGCCAGTCCTAATGGAAATTTATGCAAGGAGAGAGGCAAAGTTTACGAGGTAATTTGACTACTTTTTGTACATTACCATCTTATCTAATAATTCAAACGGTTAGATAAAATAAATTATTTAATTATTTATCTCACCCACGCTCCCTAATTCGTGAGTCTGGTTCTTTTCTCATGAATCAAACATGTGAATGTATTTTATTTATTGGGTCATGGTGAAATTTAAACATAGCATCTCTTGTATACAGAGTAAGACCTATGCTCTACAGAAAGGGGCACAGACAACCGTAAAGTTCGGCAAAAATTCTATATATATGTATATGTCGTTAGAAAATAATGATATATTAGTAGTGGTCATCCTATATATAAAGCAGATTTTGGTTGAATCCAAAAGTGCATCCGCAACCTCCAAGTCCTGAGTTCCCCTTTGCTTGTATACTTTGGTAATATATTAAATAGCGTGATCATTACATTTGAAACTTACGCTTCAAGCACAACCCCACCATCATAGTGGTTCCTGGTTTAAAAAAAATGTCGTGATCATCTCATCTAGAAAATATTTTTTTATGAATTTTACATATTATGTCCCGACACGCTGAGCCTGATTTTCTTTTCATAGGCTAGACATGTGGAAGTATTGTTTTACTCTTTGGGTGACAATGAGATTGATTACACGATCTCTGTTGCGGAAGCCAAATGTATAGAGTGTGAATAAGTCACAACTACTATACCAAAAATTATGACAGCCACCAAATAATAAATAAGACAATAAAGCAATAATAAAGGGAACACCAGAATTTACGAGGTTCGGCTAATTTTGCCTACTCCTCGGACACAACCAATATTTTATTCCACTCCAAAAATACAAGTGAAATAATACTAAAGAGAGAAGATACAAATGCCTTAAACAGATGAGAAGGCAAATGAGAGGTGTGTTTCAATCCTAAACATTAGGCCTTCTTTTATAGGGGAAAAATCCCCCCCAAACTTAACTCCCAACCAATGTGGGACTTTGGCATTTTGCCAAACTTCAACAATCTCTTGTTTAGTATTCTATCATGTTAATTAAATTGTGTGGCTAACTCATCCTTTAGATATAGAATTCGCTTTTAATTATGTAATTATATTATGTCTTAATATCTTTGCATTTTCCCGACATTGGCTGACTAATATATAAGTCATATACAGTCACACATCCTATTGCAGAATCCCTAAAGATGTTATCCATACGATTCCGACAACAGTATTGTTTTCATTAGAAGGATTAAGGGACTTGGACTGGCAAAGGCTTTTGAAGCTTCAAATGCAAGATGGCTCATTCTTAACATCCCCTGCATCTACTGCCATTGCATTCATGGAAACAAATGATCAAAAGTGTTTGGGATTTCTTCAAAACGTTGTTGAAAAGTGTAATGGAGGAGGTACGTATAACGCTTCTTTTGTAATGTTTCAAACGGGTTTAATATATAATTAGGTCTATAAAAGTTTCAAGTCTAATAACAGAAAACATACAAATAC